CTGATTGCCAGGAGTGTAAGCCGCTTGGGAGCTTTTCCTGTTCGTCTGGTAGCAGCAATTCGTATGGTTCCTGTTCGTGTATTTGGAGTGCTACCTTATTCCCTTGTATGCCGTTCGGGAGTTTGGAGCATTCACTTGTATGCAGTTCGAGTGTTTGGACCATTCCCTTGTATGCAGTTCGAGTGTTTGGAGCATTCCCTTGTATGCCGTTCGGGAGTTTGGAGCATTCACTTGTATTCAGTTCGTGAGTTTTGGTGATTCTACAGTAGCTGTGCCTGTCTCTGAAAGGGGATTATCGTCTAAGCGTTTTTTTTCCCTTTTGTGCAAAACGGTCCGTTACAGTCCCGCTGAAGTGGACGCTGTCACGACCCGTGCCGCCGAGACCAGCCCACCTGCTGCTGAGACCCAGATGCTTCCATGTATGGACTGGGGGCTGTGCTAAGCCAGGTCTGGGAAGATGGAGGAGAGCACCCTGTTGCATACCTAAGCAGAAAGTTACTACCCTGGGAAGTGAGTAATGTGGCAGTGGAGAAAGAGTGTTTAGCCCTGGTCTGGGCACTGAAGAAGTTGAGCCCTTATTTATACGGACAATAATTTTCCCTCATCACAGACCACAATCCCCTTGTCTGGCTTAACCGGGTCTCAGGAGACAATGGCAGACTGCTGAGGTGGAGTTTGGCACTGCAGCCTTACAACTTCACCATCAGCTACCGACCCGGTAAGCAGAATGGGAATGCAGATGGATTATCCCGGCAAACAGACGTCCCTACTCCTTCCCAGTCCGGTCATCCCCAAGTTGACCCGCCAGAGGGTCAAGCCGGGTCTGCCGGAGTGTTCCACAAGGGGGTAGCCGTGTGACAGACCCATCCGTATGGACTAAAAGTACTGTGCTCGTCTGTTTTGCCGTTTGCATGAATTTCCCCATTCGCATGCCTCAGTTAAGGGAATGTATTTTTTTTGTCGAACGGAACTACCAAACGGACGGCCACCCAGAAGAGAAGTGTGCTGCTGGTTAACCTATTGATCCCAATTAGAACGTTGCAGTTAACCACAGACACTTCTCAATTAAAACCGAATACCGGGTGGTCGCCGTTCGTATGTCGACCACGAGGCGGCGGCCATTTTGACTATGCGAAAGCCCAGCGGTGTTCGACGATTATTTAATTGAACTCAAAACAGACACTTTTTCAACCGAACACCGCTGAAGCTGTCGACCTCCCCTTCTCAATCGACAAAAGCATACGAATACCGGCCGTTCGGGAGATTTAACAACACGAATGGACTTAACCCAGATAGCCTTCCCATGGAGTCAATCGAATACCGAAGAGCTGTAATAGACTTTGACTCCATGGCGATTGAACTATGCGTATGGGATCTGAGCGCTATTCGCCAATAATATGCACTCAGATCCAGGCTATCTGGGGATGTGTTATATGAATGCAATACATTCGGCAGTTACAAAGTTATGGATTTTAATGTGTTTTATAACTTTGAGTTAAAATGGCGATGTGCCTCTGCTCGGGGAGATAATTGAATTACTTCCCAATTATCTCCCGAGCAGAGGGGAGGAAACTGTGATGCATGCTGGGAATATTGTGGGGTTGTATGTCTGAAATGTGCCCATGTCCTTCGGTTATTCCAGTCACCCATTTGGTCCCATAGGGGAGTGTCCACCAAGTGGGAGACCTGCATAAATACGGGCAGGTAGCCCACAGTAAACTCAGTTTGTGTTTTACCCTCAAAGCGGAGCTTGGTCTCGTTATTGGGGGGATTTTATTACCGGCAACTAGAGACTGCTTATTGGGATTATTTGCCGCTTGGAAACTATTGCCGTTCGGCTGCTATTGGTGATTCGTGTATGTGGAGCTCGTGAAGGGAAGGAGCCGTACAGGTACCGTTCGGGAGTTTAGAGTATTCCCTAGCTGGCGGTTCGCATGGTTATACGGCATACGCTACCAGACTACATTGTTGCGAACGGGGAGCATTCACTAAACGGCGGTTTGTGCATTTACTACTGGAGGTACCGTAACACTAATCAATAATCCAAATTAGATATAATCTGATTTGTATTGTCTGCAAAGCAAAATGGACAACACCATAGAGCCTAAGGCAATTAGATTTTTTCATCTATCTACATTTGTGTTTCAAACCCTTATAGGGTAACTGTAACTACACATGCTTTTTAAAGGGACATCTAGACCACTTCATCGCAATTAAGCGGTCTTGGTGTCATGTCTCTGTCATTTTAGTCCTGCAACTGAAAGCATTACCGCTCTGCAGGGACAGCAATGTTTAAACTGCAAGATTAAAACACCTATGGAAGCTCTTCCGACAAAATAGCTAAACTCGACTATTTCAATGAGATAATCTCATAGAGTGAGAAAGCATTGGCTTGCCTGAGATCAGTAAAATTGATTATCTCAGCCAAGAGGTGAGTAAAACCAAGTTTTATACTCTATACAGGGGGGATTGACCATCTAGACAGCGAGCAGGCCACAAAGCTTTAGGAATACATGTGTGTAATCATAATGCTATAGTGTCCCTTTGATATTATGGTGGCTGATCCCCTATATGTAACAAATATGTGTTTGTGAGGTCAGAAATATAAATACATTCAATGTAGAAATCCACATATAAAAGAGGTAAGCCTGAAATTGTAGGAGGGGTTTTTGGGCCTATATAACCCACGTGATCGCTACTTACCTGTTGTCGCTTTTCAGAAGTTCCCTTCCCACCTTATTATTCACATTGATATCAACAGGTGGGCCCTCTTTATAACAGGCCTAACCACTCATCGGTTACAGCACACCTCAACCAACTTATGTCATATTCGAGTTGTTATGTTCTAAGTCTGATCGGCTGTTAATGTCCTGGACACATATATGTGTTTATCTCACTCTTGGAATTGTGCACCTACAATGTTTCAAGTTCACCTTCTCCAAAGCAATGTGTGCCCTGGCTGTGCCAAGATTGAAGTAGATTGTGATGTCAGTTGTTAAATCTCCAGTCTCCATTTAAAATAAATGGAGTCTCACATGAAAAAAGGTTAACATAGGTTATAGATCCCTTCCAATGTTTTTCAGTAGCTGGAATGAAGGTCCCCTCTTAACATTAATTCTATTATTTACCTTGAATTACAAAAAGCATTGAAAATGTTTTCAGAAAATGTTGCTGGGGTTAAAATATATATTTCTTTGTCAAGCATATTTAAACATATTCTTTCCCTTAAAATATTAAGGCTTTTTACATTTCGCCATGCCTTATGTAACAGCTAAATGGATTTCCTAATTTCCTAAAAACATTTAAAACAAATTATTGGGACACTCTAGGAGCTATATTCACTGCAGCGCCGTGTAGTGATTATGTTGCTTAGCTTGCCATGGTGCCATCAACCTTCTTTAAGACCCAACTTTTAGACTCTTCTTGGATGCAGGAGACTGCCCTTCTCAGACACATTGATAATACTGAATTAAAGGGACACTATAAGTACCAGGAATACAAAGCTGTATTCCTGGCACTATAGCCCCTCTGCCTTCCCCCTCCCTCGCAAACCCCCCCTTATTTACTTACAGGACATTGGACCTCACCATAGGAAAGCATTAAATCAATGCTTTCGTGTGGGAAAAAAATCTGACGCTGGATGTCCTTATGCAGAGCATGAGAACGTTCAGCGGCAGATACTGGACCAATGGTACGTTTTAAAGGACCACTATAATGCCAAGAAAACATACTCGTTTTCCTGGCACTATAGTGCCCTAAGGGTGCCCCCACCCTCAGGGCTCTGGGGAGAGGAAGGGGTTAAAATCTTACCTTTCTCCAGCGCCGGGTGGGGAGCTCTCCTCCTCCACTCCTCCTTCATAGCGACGTCATCGTCTGAATGCGCATGCGAGGCAGGAGCCGCGCGCGCATTCAGCCAGTTCATAGGAAACCATTTACAATGCTTCCCTATGGACGCTGGCATCTTCTCACTTTGATTTTCACAGTGAGAAGCAGGCAAGCGCCTCTAGCGGCTGTCAATGACACAGCCACTAGAGGCTCTAGAGGCTGGATTAACCCTATTATAAACATAGCAGTTTCTCTGAAACTATGTTTATAAAAAAAAGGGTTAACCCTAGCTGGACCAGGCACCCAGACCACTTCATTAAGCTGAAGTGGTCTGGGTGCCTATAGTGGTCCTTTAATGCAGGAAGCCTTCTAGTGGCTGTCTGGTAGACAACCACTGTGGGTAGACTCGGAGATGCAATGTAAACATTACAGTTTCTATGGAACTGCAATGTTTTACACTGGAAGACTATGTGCAAAAAGGACACTGCATTAGCTGAATTGGTATCGGTGCCTACAGTGTCCCTTTAACACATCTGCAATATCAGTGTCAGACTCAGCCAAACTAGACGGAACCCCTTGTCTCGCCCTCTTCCAATACTCTCAGGTAATCACTGCAGCCCAGGTTGGAGGAAACGGCTACTGATAATACTAAATGAATAATTGTCATGACATTTCCACTTCTCATTTAATATATTACATTCAATGTAACTTGATAATGGTTTTTTAAGTGATGTATATTGATTTTTGCTGAATTTTTTTTTATTTTTTTTTAATTGGCTGACCAGCCATTTAAGCAGAAAAAAAAAAAAAATATCAACACTTTTAGACCAGTTTAAGAACAAGTTAATAATTACAAAAGACCAAAAATCAAAGAAAATTCAGAAACTTTGATAATTCTCCCCAGAAGTAACAGGTATGAGAAGCTATGAGAAGGTTTATATATATACAATAACATGTTCTGTCTCTCTGTCACGTGACTCTTCCCACCAGTGACGTATAATAATAATGGGCGGTACCTTGCGTGGCCACGAATTTATATTGAGCGCTGCCCCCTATGACGGATACACTAAGCTCCGCCTTGCCACGGACAGACTGTCATTATGCACCGCCCACTGTGCAGGTGTCACTAAGCTCCGCCCCGCGCCAAGTAAACAAACGGTACTTAAGCCCCGCCCCTTTGGCTTAGTTAAGTCCGCCCTAAGATGTCACTAAGCTCCGCCCTGCGCGTGCACGGAGCACTATAAAAGCCAGTCCCGAGGACGCGCTGTGGAGGCGGTTGCCTGGTCGTGCAGTATGGCTGCCCTGGATACAGTGGCTGAGGTCCTCATAGACCCCGACGGCATTTTCAAGTACATCCTGGTGAGGGTGAAGGAGCCCGCGAGTGAGCAGCACCGTGACATTGTGAGGGGAACCAGCAGCGCTGAGTATCACAGTAAGCGCCCTCTGCCAGGCTCTGGGCGGGGTCTGCTTCACCTGCCGGAGTTACGCAGTGACGTCACCACGCCTTGTCTATAAATAGTGTGAGCATGTGCTGGCCGTGTATGGAGGGCCCACAGTGTGAGCCACACCTTCTATGGAGAGAGTGCTCTTAGGGGCCCACAGTGTGAGCCACACCTTCTATGGAGAGAGTGCTCCTAGGGGCCCACAGTGTGAGCCAAACCTTCTATGGAGAGAGTGCTCCTAGGGGCCCACAGTGAGCCAAACCTTCTATGAGAGAGTGCTCCTAGGGGCCCACAGTGAGCCAAACCTTCTATGGAGAGAGTGCTCCAAGGGGCCCACAGTGTTAGCCAAACCTTCTATGGAGAGAGTGCTCCTAGGGGCCCACAGTGTGAGCCAAACCTTCTATGGAGAGAGTGCTCCTAGGGGCCCACAGTGTGAGCCAAACCTTCTATGGAGAGAGTGCTCCTAGGGGCCCACAGTGTGAGCCAAACCTTCTATGGAGAGAGTGCTCCTAGGGGCCCACAGTGTGAGCCAAACCTTCTATGGAGAGAGGGGCCCACAGTGTGAGCTAAACCTTCTATGGAGAGAGTGCCCTAGGGGCCCACAGTGTGAGCCAAACCTTCTATGGAGAGAGTGCTCCTAGGGGCCCACAGTGTGAGCCAAACCTTCTATGGAGAGAGTGCTCAGGGGCCCACAGTGTGAGCCACACCTTCTATGGAGAGAGAGCTCCTAGGGGCCCACAGTGAGCCAACCCCTCTATGGAGAGAGTGCTCCTAGGGGCCCACAGCGTGAGCCACACCTTCTATGGAGAGAGTGCTCCTAGGGGCCCACAGCGTGAGCCACACCTTCTATGGAGAGAGTGCTCCTAGGGGCCCAGAGCGTGAGCCACACCTTCTATGGAGAGAGTGCTCCTAGGGGCCCACAGCGTGAGCCACACCTTCTATGGAGAGAGTGCTCCTAGGGGCCCACAGTGAGCCACCTTCTATGGAGAGAGTGCTCCTAGGGGCCCACAGTGTGAGCCAAACCTTCTATGGAGAGAGTGCTCCTAGGGGCCCACAGTGTGAGCCACACCTTCTATGGAGAGAGTGCTCCTAGGGGCCCACAGTGTGAGCCACTCCTTCTATGGAGAGAGTGCTCCTAGGGGCCCACAGTGAGCCAAACCTTCTATGAGAGAGTGCTCCTAGGGGCCCACAGTGAGCCAAACCTTCTATGGAGAGAGTGCTCCTAGGGGCCCACAGTGTTAGCCAAACCTTCTATGGAGAGAGTGCTCCTAGGGGCCCACAGTGTGAGCCAAACCTTCTATGGAGAGAGTGCTCCTAGGGGCCCACAGTGTGAGCCAAACCTTCTATGGAGAGAGTGCTCCTGAGGGAGAGAGGCCCCTAGGGGCCCCACAGTGTGAGCCATGAGACCTAGGGGTCACCAGGAGAGAGTGCTACAGTGTGAGCCTTCTATGGAGAGAGTGCCACAGTGTAGGGGCCCACAGTGTGAGCCACCTTCTATGGAGAGAGGGGCCCACAGCTGAGCCTTTCTATGGAGAGAGTGCCCAGGGGCCCAGTGGAGAGAGTGAGGGGCCACAGTGTGAGCCAACCTTCTATGGAGAGAGTGCTCCTAGGGGCCCACAGTGAGCCACACCTTCTATGGAGAGAGTGCTCCTAGGGGCCCACAGTGAGCCAAACCTTCTATGGAGAGAGTGCTCCTAGGGGCCCACAGTGTGAGCCACACCTTCTATGGAGAGAGTGCTCCTAGGGGCCCACAGTGTGAGCCAAACCTTCTATGGAGAGAGTGCTCCTAGGGGCCCACAGTGAGCCAAACCTTCTATGAGAGAGTGCTCCTAGGGGCCCACAGTGTTAGCCAAACCTTCTATGGAGAGAGTGCTCCTAGGGGCCCACAGTGTGAGCCAAACCTTCTATGGAGAGAGTGCTCCTAGGGGCCCACAGTGTGAGCCACACCTTCTATGGAGAGAGTGCTCCTAGGGGCCCACAGTGTGAGCCAAACCTTCTATGGAGAGAGTGCTCCTAGGGGCCCACAGTGTGAGCCAAACCTTCTATGGAGAGAGTGCTCCTAGGGGCCCACAGTGTGAGCCAAACCTTCTATGGAGAGAGTGCTCCTAGGGGCCCACAGTGTGAGCCAAACCTTCTATGGAGAGAGTGCTCCTAGGGGCCCACAGTGTGAGCCACACCTTCTATGGAGAGAGTGCTCCTAGGGGCCCACAGTGTGAGCCACACCTTCTATGGAGAGAGTGCTCCTAGGGGCCCACAGTGTGAGCCACTCCTTCTATGGAGAGAGTGCTCCTAGGGGCCCACAGTGAGCCAAACCTTCTATGGAGAGAGTGCTCCTAGGGGCCCACAGTGAGCCAAACCTTCTATGGAGAGAGTGCTCCTAGGGGCCCACAGTGTGAGCCAAACCTTCTATGGAGAGAGTGCTCCTAGGGGCCCACAGTGTGAGCCAAACCTTCTATGGAGAGAGTGCTCCTAGGGGCCCACAGTGTGAGCCAAACCTTCTATGGAGAGAGTGCTCCTAGGGGCCCACAGTGTGAGCCAAACCTTCTATGGAGAGAGTGCTCCTAGGGGCCCACAGTGTGAGCCACACCTTCTATGGAGAGAGTGCTCCTAGGGGCCCACAGTGTGAGCCACACCTTCTATGGAGAGAGTGCTCCTAGGGGCCCACAGTGTGAGCCACACCTTCTATGGAGAGAGTGCCCCTAGGGGCCCTCAGTGTGAGCCAAACCTTCTATGGAGAGAGTGCTCCCAGGGGCCCACAGTGTGAGCTGTGTTCATCCCCCTAGGGGCCCCCCTCCCTGCTGTAACAATGTATGGAGAGGGGTTTCTAACAAGTCTGGGAGAGCTGCTCTTACCATGTATAAATAGTAAATACAATGGGGTTAAGAGAAATGGCTTATGCTATTTTTAAAATTCCTTTTTTTTTCACTCAGATCATATATTTGAAAAAATAAATCCTGATCTACAAGCGGCAGGTTTTGAATGTACAGTTCTTGGAGGAGGAAAAATTGAACATAATAGTAAAGAGAAAAAAATCCGTGTGTTTGGCGAATCTACGGTAGGTTTGAGTCATGTTGTTTGTTTTGTAGATAATTTTACTCCTCTCTGTTCCAGTTATTGCATAAATTGTATACTATAAAAGGTGATTTTCTGTAGAGAACTCTCCCGGTTATTCATTAAAGTGAGATTTGTCAGACATAAAAAGAAAATTTCAAGTTTAACCCCTTCATTACCAAGCGGTTTGCAAAACAACCACCTCTAGAAGTATTTTGGGTGTCCTAGAAAGTAACACGATGTTGAAGTTGGCTTCTTATTTGGTGATAGATCGCTTCTTATTTGTAATAAATGTTAACTCGCAAGTTGGAATAAACTTGGAATTAATAATAATTTAAAATAATAACTTAAAAACAGAGTGTAAAATCAGAGTCCACACTCCTTGCTTTCGGCAATTCAATAATATTTATTAAAAGACTAATCAAACAAATAAACAATACATATGCATTTAAAATGGGCTAGTATATGTTGCTACTAAAACTAGTCATTGATTGAATGGAAAGTTATATACCGTATATACTTGAGTAAAAGCCGACCCGAATATAAGCCGAGGCTTAATTTTACCCCAAAAAACTGGGAAAACGTATTGACTCGAGTATAAGACTAGGGTGGGAAATGCAGAAGCTACTGGTAAATTTCTAAATAAAATTAGATCCTAAAAAAATTATATTAATTGAATATTTATTTACAGTGTGTGTATATGATGAATGCAGTGTGTGTGTATGATGAATGCAGTGTGTGTGTATGATGAATGCAGTGTGTGTGTATGATGAATGCAGTGTGTGTGTATGAATGCAGTGTGTGTGTGTGTATGAGTGCAGTGTGTGTGTGTATGAGTGTGCAGTGTGTGTGTATGAGTGTGCAGTGTGTGTGTATGAGAGTGCAGTGTGTGTGTATGAGTGCAGTGTGTGTGTGTGTGTGTGTATGACTGCAGTGTGTGTGTGGGTGTGGGTGTGAGGCAGTGTGTGTTTGTGTTGCAGAGCCTTGGTGGGGGGTGGGCATTTTTATTAAAAAAAATAATAATAATAATAATAATAATATTATTTAAATTTTTTGTTGTTATATTATTATTTTTTTAAATTATTTTATTATTATTAATATATTATTATATTTATTTATTTTTCGTCCCCCCTCCCTACTTGATACATGGCAGGGAGGGGGGCTCTCCTTCCCTGGTGGTCCAGTGGCATTGGCAGTTCAGTAGGGGCTGTTACTTACCTCTCCTGCAGCTCCTGTCAGCTCTCTCCTCCTCCGCGCCGGTCCGTGCAGCTCTTCTGTCAGCTCACACTGTAAGTCTCGCGAGAGCCGCACTATGACCCTGCGGCTCTCGCGAGACTTACACTGGGAGCTGACCGAGGTGCTGACCGGACCGGCGCGGAGGAGCAAGTTGCTGACAGGAGCTGCAGGGGAGGTAAGTAACAGCTCTGCCAGCCCCCAGTCTGTATTATGGCAATGTAAATTGCCATAATACAGACAGTGACTCGAGTATAAGCCGAGTTGGGGTTTTTCAGCACAAAAAATGTGCTGAAAAACTCGGTTTATACTCGAGTATATATGGTAAATACCATCTAGGCTCACCCAAAATGCCATTGATTTTTATTATTTATGAAATATTATACCAGGAAAGATACATTGAGATTTCTCACGTTTTCAAGAATGTCCTTCCTCCACAAAACATTGCATTGACACAATAGGGTACAATAAAATACAAAAAATATTAATACACAATATAAACAAAATTTAACATAGTAGGAAATATAGTGGAGTGATTCGGGCGAAAACCCGATTGATCAGGGGTCAGATAGTTAGATTGTTGTAATACTCACATAGTTGCGTATGGACGCAGATTTTTGACAATACTCGGAGCATATGATATTGGGCGATGGTTAGAAACCAAAGTTGTGTCACCACTTTTCTCGATAGGCACTACTTTTGCAGTCTTCCAAAGTTGGGTATGTATCCAGACACCAAGGATTAATTAGGGTTGCGACGGGTTTAGCAATTGCCAGTGCACTGAACTTCAAAAGCATTGCTGGGATTTGACCAGGTCCAGACTGGTTTTTCATTTTTAGATTATTAAGGTGTTTCTTAATGACACTAATAAGTACAGGTCTAAAAATGAACTTGTCTATATTGGGTCTTTGCAAATTTAGTGGGGCCTGATCCACATTTGTAGTTTCTGGATGCATGTCATTTATTAGTTTGGCAATCGTGTAGTGGAGCATCTGACGTTTGCTACATCTAAGGGGAGTTGCAGGGTTTGGTTATCCACTTTGACACTGTAGGGTTGGGAGTGGATTGGGGGAGTTTGTAATTTATTTATGACTTTCCAAAAGTTTATTTTTCAGATTTTCACAGAAAACCCCCTGTCATCCAACAACATTTTAGACTGAGCTAAACCACATTTCGTATCAACTAGTGGCACCATCAATTCAATTTTGACTTTTCATGCAACCATTTTACCACCAACCTTTTGCCAAATAAAAAAAAAAAAAATAAAAATGTTTTTTGTTTTTTTTGACACACAAGGCAATTTAAGAATACATATATGGAGGTCCAGTGTGTCCCAGTACATCACTAGCGTGATAGACCCCAGCCACAACATCTCCACTTCGATCCACAAAGCACACTGCGTTTTTGCCACACACCCCGCAGAATGCTAACTGCATAGAATGCAACTGAAATGGTGGTAAGGGGTTAATACATAAGAGAAGGGAGTCACTCTATAACAGAAATTTACAAGGTTATTTACTTAAGTGATAATTAAAAGTAATTTTAAAGTTATAGCCAAATTAGAAAAATGCTATGCTTTCCGCTTGGCGACATTACCATAAAATTTTTAATTCTCACTTTGTAAATAAGCCTGCTAATATAAAGGGAATTAAAACTTTAAAGGGAAACTCCAGTGCCAGGAAAACAATCTGTTTTCCATGCACTGCAGGTCCCCTCTCCCTCCCACCCCCCATCCCCGGTTGCTGAAGGGGTGAAAACCCCTTCAGGTCACTTACCTGAGACCCCGCCGATGTCCCTCGGCGGTGGTTTCTGCTTGCCACCACTCCTCCCAGTCATTACGGCGGCCGAGGAGACCTAATGAGCATGCGCGGCAATGCCGCTCATGCGCATTAGAGCTCCCCATAGGAAAGCATTGAAAATGTTTTTTCAATGCTTTCCTATGGGGAATTGAGCAAAGCTGGAGGCCCTCACTCAGCATGAGGACGTCCAGCGACGCTCTGGCACAGGTTTTCTGTGCTATAGAGCAGGAAGTGCCCTCTAGTGGCTGTCTAGAGGTGGAGTTAACCCTGCAAAGTAATTATTGCAGTTTATAAAAAAAACTGCAATAATTACACTTGCAGGGTTAAGGGTAGTGGGCAGAAGTGATCTGGGTGCCTGGAGTGTCCCTTTAAGGGTTACTACCAAAGAACACCCCAATATGTGTTCAGCAACATCTCCTGAGTGATACACCCAATATATAGGTGTGTCGGGTTCTCTGGGGGCTAAAAGACCTTATCTGGAGGGTGCGCATTCCAGTTTTCCAACCTGGAATTTTCACAGATGGTCATCATGCACCCATGTCCTATTTGGGAAATTTTTGAAGCCGGCCAATGTAATTTACCCCATCAAACCATATATTTTTGAAAAGTAGGCACCCTAAGGTATTTCAAATGGTGGTATTTTATCACATTCCATGCACTAATTCTACCACCAGTCTTTGTTAATCTTTTGGATAGTCATTATTTTTTTATTTATTTTTTTGTTATTTTTCTCTCACATACTTTAGGCATGGATTCTCAGTTCCTGTTATGTGTTAATGACAAAGAACACCCCAATATGTGTTGAGCAACATCTCCAGAGTAAAACAGTGCCCCCAATGTACAGGTTTTATGGGTTTTTGCAAACGTACAGGAGTCAAATGTAGGGCTTTCCCCTTTTCCATGTTTGCACGTTGAAGTTTGCAATATTGGTTTGCTGGGCCTGTGTTGCCTTTGAGACCATATAGCAGCCCAGGAATGAAAATTAACATTTTCACCATAAATAGTCATTTAACTTCTCTACATCAGAGAAATGACCAGTGAGACTGCAGGGGGCATGATCTAAACACCCAAACCAGCATACGTCTACAGTAGTTTTGGCCATAAACTGATCCTTTACGCTTCCTCTACAAAATAGTGACTTTTTTTTTTCCAGTATCCTTCAGCTAAAAAATATATATTTTTAATTTCAGGGATATGGAAAAGCTGACCACTCCATCACTGCTGAAAAATTGAAGAAGGCATATAGCGGCTATGAAGTGATTTGGTCAGATGACAAGAAATGAATGCCCATCTCTGTGATGCGTGATGGAATGCAAAATGGTCTCTATCTAACATGGCCCTTCAAATTACATATTCTTCAATAAAGTTTATTTGTAGATGAAAGTCCCAAGTCTTGTTTGTACTCTAGCTAGAGGTAGGTCTTGTAGTTGATTAATCTTATTTGTTTACTATGTTTTCACAGTGTTTAATGAAGGAGTCAGTGCCATATTTTCTCAAAAAGCCAGTAGGCTATATTATCAAAATGTAATAAACTTTATTTTTTTTTAATTCATAATATAAACAGAACCGCGGAGAACCAATAATAGGCTGTTCAATCAGTCTCTTGTAGAAAAAGCAATGTCACAATGTTACAGTAGATGGAGACAAAGTATTAACATTGTAATTATATAACCAGATGACTCCACAGGAATTGATACTGTGTGAGTTCCAACAAATATGGGGAATAGATTGTCTGCATATAAGCTTTGCAGGTGAGAAAATCGGTAGGTTAAAGACAGGCAACAAATCCAGGAATCGCAGAGCATAAGGGCTGTTCAGTATACAAAGCCAAGTAGTCAGAATCTTTTATATACAGGCAGAACTGAAGTGTCTAATCCTTTGGAAGATGGCGAGTGAGCATTCCTTACCAGCAACAGAAGGTATTGGAGAGATTTGTGATCAAAATGTAAACCAGGTAAGCCTGTGGTGAAGCAGTTAGTACAGCAATAACACACTGGAAATATGGCTTTGACACTGTGCACAATAAGAGTGTGTTCGATGCACTGACAGATAATTGAAATATTTCGCGTAAATATCAGTGCTCTGGCGTCCTGACTAAAAAGTTTGAGGTTTTTAAAGTGATAGGAACAACTCAATTTCACTACACCAGCTTTGCTTTTTAATTTATGGGTCCAAGTGATTATACTCTCTGACAACATGTACGCATACTCTGTCATCAATAAGAGCATGGTAATGTGGGACCCACTGCAGTTAAATAATGAATTGAGTATTAACTAGGAAGGGGATAGCATACCCACCTCTACTTTCTGACATCCACGTGTTGGTGGATAACTGCAACACCTGTTACTGTAAATATGAAAAATATAATGTATGTGTATTAATAAAAGCACCTTAAACCCTATCACATGCAGCATCCATCTAGGTGAGAACATCACGTATAGCACCCATTTTTTGCTGCCCTGCTCTTGGCCAAAATAGTTAATCAGGAGTGCACCTACTTATGTAATTTACAAACATAAATGTTATTTGTTCATGTGTTAATAAACATTGTCTATGTACATGTGGAGCTGTGAGTTTATAATCAATTTCAACAACCTAGAATAGTATGGAACAAAAAGCACACCTTCACAAATTCCCACAATACATACAATAGCAAAAATTTACAAAAACATCCAAATTAGGTGGTTATTAAACACAGTAGAACTATATATTTAAATTTAGTTACCACAAGACCAATCTGACCATGTGTTAGTCCAGATTGCAACCTTTAAATAAATTCCTAGGGTGTGCAATTCTTTCATTATTTCCATTGTCTGACTGGGTATTTTCTAAGGTTCCAAGAGGGTCCACATCCAAACGCTCAATGTTCACTAACGGTTCAGGATATCAGCATTCCCCAATTCGTTTCAATTTGAGATATTAAGAAATATTGGACAATTGATGTGGTTTTAGGCCTGATATGAAAACCACTGCTAAACAAACTCACACATTCTATATATTCTAATTTAGTTACCACAAAACCAATCTGACCATGTGTTGCCCTGAGATAATGTGTTATAAATGTGTGTGTTTGATTAGCACTGATATATATGTGACCTTGATTAGCACTGGTTTCTTTCTCAGTCCTCAAACCATAAATGTCCAAACCTTCTTAGTATCTCAAATAGAACAGAATTGGGGAGTGCTGAAATTCATGAACATTGGTGTACCTTGAAAGTCTGGAAAGAGACCCACTTAGAGCCCTAAGAAAATATGCATTCAGACATTAGAAATAATGACAGGATTGCACAGCCCGGCAATCTGAACGAATGGCACGATCTGGGAAAGTGGTAGGAGGACAGATGACAATGTACCCTTGTAACTGCGGCTGGTTCCCTTATTTACCACTATAACATCTTAAAGCATAGAACTTAGCAGGGTTAACCATACAGATATCTTAGCCACATATTATATAGTTAGTAAGTAGAGTTGAGTGAACCCGAACCGCAAAGTTCGTGTTCGTACCGAACATTACTGTTTTTGGACCCCGGACCCGAACACGGACATTTCAGTGTATGTTCGTGTTCGGTGTTCAGCGATTTAATGGCGCGTTTTGAAAGGCTGCAGGGCAGCCAATCAACAAGCATTTGACTTGTTTGCCCTTAGAAGCCATCACAGCCATGCCTACTAATGGCATGGCTGTGATTGGTCAGTGCAGCATGTGACCCAGCCTCTATATAAGCTGGAGTCACGTAGCGCCTCACGTCACATGAGCTCTTATTAGTGTAGGGAGAGGATGCTGCAGCTGTGAGGGACAGCTTAGGAAAGAATTCTGGTGTTGAATCTGCAAACTCCAGTGATTATTCAAACTCCAGTGATTATTTTAGTGGGTGCTATACTACATTTTTGTACCCTGCCCTGAGCCCAGTGCCACAGAGAGTGCAGTGCACTTGCAACTGCATGTGCGCCAGGCACATGACTTTAATCCTGTTCTGGTAGCTCAATGAGCAACATCTAGGCATTTTTTAAATACTGCAATTTTTTTGCTGCTAAATAGTACATTTGCGTCCTGCGGTGCACTTCATATCTGAGAGTCAAATAGAACCGTCAAACACTGTGCTTACAGCGCACTTTTAAAAATTCTAATTGTTTTGGGTGCTAAATAGTACATTTGCGTCCTGCGGTGCACTTCATATCTGAGAGTCAAATAGATCCGTCAAACGCTGTGCTTACAGCGCACTTTTAAAAATTCAAATTATTTTGGGTGCTAAATAGTACATTTGCGGCCTGCGGTGCACTTCATATCTAAGAGTCAAATAGAACCGTCAAATACTGTGCTTACATCGCAGTTTGACCCATTCAAATTTTGGGGGTGATAAAAAGTAAATTTGGGGTGTGCACTTCATATATGAGAGTCAAATAGAACCATCAAATACTGTGGTTACAGTGCAGTTTGACCAATTCAAATTTTTTTGGGTGCTAAATAGTACATTTGCGGCCTGCACTTCATATCTGACAGTCAAATAGAACCGTAAAATACAAATATAACAATATTGTAATTCGGGGGCAATACCCTCACAAGTCAAACTGAGAGGTCAGTTTATAGGGAAAACTTTTGCCTGGATGCAGAACGGCAAGGAGGGCAGGGTTGAGGAGTGGGTGGAAGATGATGTGGAGGATGATGAGGTCCTAGACCCCACATGGAATCAAGGTCATGCGAGTGACGTGTGCAGTTTGGAGGAAGAGGCGGTGGTCGCACAGAGGCACCAGCACAGCATAAGAGGGAGCAGGGTGCAAAAGCGGAGTGGCCGTCCCCTAGCGCTCGTCGGCATGTATTAGCTCGGGAATTACCACATTTATCCAAGTAACAGATGGAGCGATCAAAGTTCCATAAGAGTTGAGCGAACCCGAACTGCAAAGTTCAGGTACGTACCAGATTTAATGAGCCATTCAAAGTTTTACAACAGTCCGGTGACCGGGACCCAGACACTGTCTGGACGGCGGTCGGACTACCGGGACCCAGTATGCCTGATGTTGAAGTTAGGAGTCACAGTGTGGAATGGATTAGCAGGATCTGGTGCAGGGTAACCGCACACCCCCTGCTATTGAGCACCAGCGTTTGTACGGCCACATACCAGGATCCTGATGCAGCTTCAGTAAAAAAAGCATTGGATACCAGAAGCCATCACCAGACTGATCCACAACTTGGAACAGGATGTGACATTCACTGTAGCGCCTGTGCACGCTTTTGACATTCTCATCCTGCTGCTGCTCGCCTGTCTGTGCTGCAGCGTAACTTTGGCCTTCCCGCTCACCGCCTCATATGCGACGTGCCCACAAGGTGGAACTCCACCTTGCACATGCTGGAGAGACTGTGCGAGCAGCAGCAGGCGATAGTGGGGTTTCAGCTGCAGCACGCACGGGTCAGTCACTCTGTGGAACAGCACCACTTCACCACCAATGAGTGGGCCTCCATGCGAAACCTGTGTGCCATGTTGCGCTGTGTGCCATGTTGCGGGTTCCTGCACCAGCATAGACCAGGTACACAATTGTCCAGCATCTCCATGGAAACGTTCAGCTGTCCATCTCCCAAACACTGGAGAGAAAGAGGGAGTGCCACCTGCGATCCCTGGCCCTTAATGCCAGCATTTCAAAATTTGTGGCCTTTGAAATGCTGTCATTCCGTCTGGTGGCGACGGACAGCTTTTAAAACCTGATGGCGTTATTGGACTGCAAGAAATGCACTGCAGGCCGCAAATGTTTCTTTTTTTATATGTCCCAATATTTTGGGGGCTACCCCAATTAAAAACAAACAAACAAATAAAAAACAGTGTTGGCTACCTCCTCCACCGACACGGTCACCGCCTCTTCAACCTATGGGTCACTTAGTATAAACTATGTACACAATAGCAAAGGCTTGTGAAGACCTTTTCTCCATGCATCAAGAGTTGAGCATTTCTCCATGCATCAGGACTGCAAGAAATGCACCGCAAGCCGCAGATTTTTCTTTTTTTATATGTACCAATATTTTGGGAGCTACCCCAATAAAAATAAAAACAAAAAAAACTGTGTTGGCTCCCTCCTCCACCGCCGCTTCCACCTACACTGCCACAGTCACCACCTCCTCAACCTATGGGTCACTTAGTATAAACTATGTACACAATAGCAGAGGCTTGTGAAGGCATTTTCTCCATGCATCAGGAGTTGAGCTCAGTTTGAACAATGATAGAGAATACAAGACAAACAGTACAAAATTGTGGCTATTTAGCGCTGATTTTTTTCTGTTTTTTCTAATGAAAGAGAATACCCTGCACTCCAACCCTCTGTCAAATGGATAATTCTGGTGATCCTCCTGACAGCCATGCTTTAGATTTTGATTTATGTTCTTCCAAAGCTAAAATCAAAGATTCCATCTAGTGCTATTTTATGGCTCAGTTGTATTTTTAATTTTTATGTTATTTTAAGTGATTTCCCTATCCACATTTGTTTGCAGGGTACGTATCTTACTCTTAACCCCACTTTACTTCCTTTTGCAGCCCTCTAGCAATTTCCAGGACTTTTTAGAGGCATGTTAGTGCCCAAACATCCGGTTCCCTATTGATTTCTATGGAGTTTGGGTTCGAGGTCAAGTTCGATCCCGATCCTGGATTTTTTTTCCAAGTTCGGTCGAACCCGAACATCCAGGTGTCCGCTCAACTCTATTAGTAAGAGATCCTCTATTTAAAATATATAAATAATTGAGAATACAATATAAAATAAAGATTGTCTTGGAAGCAATAAAGTTTTGTAAAAATATAAATATAGACATATATTATTATGATATTTATAGAGCACCGGCAAATTCCGCAGCGCTTTACAATGGGTGGACGAACAGACATGTAGTTGTAACCAGACAAGTTGGACACACAGGAACAGAGGGGTTGAGGGCCCTGCTCAATGAGCTTACATGCTAGAGAGAGTGGGGTAAAATGACACAAAAAGGTAAGGATAGTATTAGACTAGTGACAGTTGCAGAAGAGGAATCAGTCAGGAGCTATTAACAGTTTAATTGATACGCTTTTATGAAGAAGTGGGTTTTTAATGATTTTTTGAAGGAGTGGAGACTGGGTGAGCATCTAACGGAGGAGGGAAGTGAGTTCCACATGAACGGTGCAGCCCTTGAGAAATCTTGAAGGCGCGCATCAGAGGTGGGAGTACGGGCAGAAGATAGACGTAAGTCTTCAGCAGATCGTAAAATCCATTACAATAATTTATAGCAGATAAGATTAAACCAAATGCTTGCAAATATCATTAATACATTAACATACCCTCCTGAACATGTCATCATGTCAGCCTCTCTGTCATTTTAAGATGGAGCAGCGTCTGTCTCCAAGTCTCTCCTCTGTCCCTTATCATTTAAAAGTACACCTATTTATACCTTAGGAGTCTCCATTTTGGGGTTACCGTAGTTCATATATGAAAAAGTAACACTTCTCTTACTTTATTAATTTTAGGACCTCCCTTAAAAAATACAAGGCCAAAACTAAAGGGTGTACACGTCATGGAAATTTTCCTGGCTTAGGTCAAGATGGCATCTTAAAGTCTGAACATCTTTAGCTACTTAGGGTTACTACAGTATATTGTGTACTGAAAGAGTCGTAGCATAGTCTTGAAGCTTGTTTATGCATTATTGTTATTGTAATTTGCTGGGACAAAATAGCGTAAACATATTATGCACTGAAGGTAGGTAAGAGGTTATTGCTTAAAGAAACATTGTATGAAAAACAATATGTTCCATTTCTAACACCTTGTCAGTTTGCAATATCTCTTAAAGACAAAGTACACAGTTTAAGAAATACAACATTTCATTCTAAAACTTGTAATATTTGCATTTGCCCATAACACCCTGTGTTACCTGAATAAAACCAGTTCTGTTCTTTGCTTTAGCCAGTGTCTGGCTGATGATTGTGGAGACATTTTAGGCATTTTATCCTCTGTTGTATCAAATATACGCACCTTACCATAACAAAATATCTATAAAATACAAGGTTGCCAATCATCTCCCAAAAATGTTTACATTTAAGTTGACTTGGCAATGCATTTCCCCAACTTCATTTACACACTACACAAGGCGACCAATCATCTCCTCTAATCCATTTATTTACAATGCAGGGTGAACTTCCTTCTCCAGTAATCCATTCAGACACCAAGGGCAGAGTGACAAAACATGGAAAAAGGGAATCGTGCATCAGAGACACAATGAGGAAAGTGGGCATGGGCAGAAATAGATACAAGTCTTACTATAACATACAGAGCTCTCATCTTTCTTATTCATTTTTTTTTTAACCAAATTTACCAGAAATATTACAAATAGTAGCGATTATGTTGTTTTTTATTTTAAGCAGAATATATGAATACAAAATATTTGAAAAAAATCACTATATTTTCCAGAAGAAATCATGTTGTTTTTTTCTAAATGTCACACAGCCCTAGTGGCCAATCATTTCACCAACTCCATTTATATTTTTATTTATTTATACAAAATGTTTCTGTAGACAAGAACTATGTCCAAATGGACATAAAACTGTGAAAATTACCAAATTCCGACAACATTATCAACTCACAAATTTACTAAAGCCAAATGATGTTAAGATTTGGTCAGTCCAGCCAATTATATAAAATGCCATTAGTCTACTGCGCATGTGTGACTTACTTGAAAGTCTTATCTACAAGGTTAAGGCACACATAACATTTCAGAAGAAAGAAGAAACATCTGAATAAACTGCTGACACAGTGAAGAATTTAACTTTTAACGCCTGCAGACGTGGAAGGACTTAACTAAGGCAAAGGCATTAACCCTTTATGTACCTTTTATCAATGACATACGTTAGTGTCACGTATTCATCTGCACAAAAAAATGTGATTAATGGCATTTACTGTCCTGACAGGAAATGTTGTGCTGAGCAGCAATCAATCCACAGGAGGGTTTGTGCCGAGCAGCAATCATGCAAATAGGAACCTGGTAAATGCCTTTGTGGTCAAAGGCTGGTTACAACCAATCAGATCCAAAGGCGGGGTATTTACCCCCAGTTCTCCTCTTGGTCTGTGCCCTGTTGTGGTTTCCCTTGTGGTTGTCCGAAAGCGCGTTATTGATTCTGTTTTTTCTGGTTATTTGACTTTGGCATTGATATTGACTTCCCTGTTTTCTGGCATCCCTGACCCCTGGCTTTTCCTTATCGTTGTGTCTCTTTCTGTATCCCTTTACCTCGGCTATTTCTGACTATTCTTTGGTATGTTAGTTCGGCCATTCTAAGGTCCGGTATACGTAACCTATAAGTCCTCTGTGTTACACAATTCTACGTGCTGGATCATTGTAATCCTGATATTACGACATGGCCATAGATCCTGTAGAATTGTGTAAGCACATAGATGCTTGTGAAAGGAAACTGGAGGATAATGATCACCGCATGGATCAATTTGCCCGGCCTTCAGTATGCTTCTTACCCAAACAGTGCACCTGCAACCTGCAACCTGCAACCTGTGGCATCACCTTCACCTTATGTACTTCCACCTACTATCTCCCTATCTCCTCCCCTGCATTTTGATGGTAATATTCAAAAATGCTGGGGATTTCTTAACCAGATGGAGTATCATTTTGGGGCCCCTTTCTCCACAGACAGAGCTAAAATTGGTTACCTAATGAATCAGTTAAAAGGTAAAGCTTTAGCTTGGGCCAATCCATTATGGGAGAGTAATAGGAGTTTGACACACATTTACCCGGAGTTCCTTATGGAATTCAAACTTACATTTGAACCGTTGGGCAGAGGGGATGACACATCTAGTTGGGCAGAGAGGATGACACATCTACTGCCCTGATGCATATTGGACAAGGGAACCAGTCTATCTCGGTATATGCCATATAATTTCGTACCCTAGCTTCCGAGGTAGACTGTACTAATAGTAGGTTAATCTCTGCAATTAAAAAGGGACTGTTACGGCACCCCAGGCATAAAAGGGGTTAAAGCCATGTAAGATGTTCCCTTTCCGAATACAAAGGCAGCTACCAATCACTCCAAACAGCTGAACAGAAATCATACGAATCATCCACACCATACAAATACTCCAAACAGCCGAACGGGAGAAAACCATACAAATAAATCCCCTCAAGTACAAGACAAAGCTCCATATTGAGGGTCAGCAGGAATCTGGTTTAATGTGGGCTACCTGCCCAGTATTTATGCAGGTCTTCCACCAGGTGGACACTCCCCTAGGGGACCTGGTGGAAAACTGGTAGAAAATATTACAGTAACCAATCAGAGCATGGCTGAGATAAACACTCCCACTGGCATATTGTAAACCCTCCTCTCTATCCTGGAGATAATTACAGTCATATTGGCAATACAAATGCTGGTATTTGTCTTAGTATAAACAGAGATCACGATGCAATACCAGCACTGGCCAGTAGTCACAAGTGGTCGCTGTGTGTGGAGTGAGGCAGGGATAGGAAGTTCCAACATATCCCTTCCTGCCTGTCTCTACTCACTGATCTGCAGGGGAGCAGCTACAGAGAGTCCAGACAGCAACTCCCACCCTGCAAAAACAGACTAAAGGTCAGGGAAGTGAAGGATGGGGGAAGGCTGCAAGGAGACAAGGAGACATGGGAGATATTATGACAGACACTTGGGGACACTGGGACACTAAGGTACATTGGGAGACATGGGTACACAGAGACACATGGGGACACAGTGTCACCATGTCTCCCAGTGACCATGTCTCCCAGCCAGTGGCCCTGGTGTCTCAGTGTCCCCATGTTTCCCAGTGCCCCCTAGTCTCCCAGTGTCTCAGTGCCCCATGTCTCCCAGTTCCCCCATGTCTCCCAGTGCCCCCACGTCTCAATGTCACCATGTTCCCCAGCCAGTGTCTCTAGTGTCTGTGTCCCTGGTGTCTGTGTCCCCATGTCTTCAAGCATCCCCTATTTTCCCAGTGTCTCCATGTGTCCCAGCCAGTGTCCCCTACTCTCCCAGTGTCCCTGGTGTCTCCGTGTCGCTAGGTTTCCCTGTGTCCCCATGTCTCCCCATGTTCCCAGTGTCCTAGTGACATGGGGACCCTGGGAGACATGGGGACATAGACACATTGGAATACTGGGGGAAACAGGGAGACATGGGCATTGGGACATTGTGATACATAGGGTCACTGTGATACATAGGGTCACTGGGAGACCTGGGGACACTGGGAGACATGGGGCACTGAGACACTGATACATAGGGACACTGAAACCTGGGGTAATTGACACATGGCGACACTGAGCCATGAGGGCACTAGGAGACATGGGGACACTAGGACAGTGGGAGACTTGAGAAACTGGGAGCAATCCATCTATACAGCAGAATCAAACTGTAACGGCACCCCCAGGCATTAAAGGGTTAAACCGACGTTTAGTAGATCTTCCCTTCCAGAGACACGGGCACAGCTACTGCAGAACACCAATCCGCCGAACAGGAAAAGCATCTGAATGCTGTAAACAGCCAAACCAGAACCATACGAATGCTGTAAACAGCCGAATAGGAAAAACCATACGAAAGGTTTACACTCCTAGCAGTCGAACTGGAACAGCATACAATAAATCCGCCCCAAGAACGAGACAAAGCTCCGTGTTGAAGGTCAAGCAGTGAACAGACAGAGCTGTGGGTTTATTGTGCTTATGTACACATTCTTACACATTAGTACCACCCACAGGGATTTGGAACACAACCAACAAACACATACAATACACTCAGACACTCCCACACAAATTCCTCCCCTCTGCATGTGATTCAATTACCTTACACAATGGGTAATGCAATTATAACAAGCAGAGAAATACAATTTTTCCACATTATTCATAACTTGAAAAGTATGCATCACATTCACATAAAACTTACATCAGGGGGCGGGGCCAGGCCGCCAAGCAAGATGGTCGCAGGTCAGACCAGCTCCTGCAACTCATAACAAAAATAAGCATGAAAACCAGACTTTTGGCATACAAAGACGGCCAACTGCGGTGGACCTCATCGGGTGGAGAGTACCGGACCCAGGGTGAGGCTGGCCTGCCTGGTTTCAGTCCCCTGGAGGAAGAATCCTCACTGGCGCAAACGAGGCCTACTCCGGCGGTGAGTGGAGCAGACGGCCGCTGCCCCACTATCCTGCCCATCGGTACTCAGCCAGGGCCAGAACCGTTGGGAAATGGCCCCGTT